AGTGATCTGGGGCCAGCACTGGCTTGCTTGCTGGACAGCCCCCACCCCAACCACCCTACCAGCGCCACCCCCGGTGACCTCCCTCTGTGGGGTGACCAGCGGGCGACTGGAGGGCCCCCCCACTGGCACCCACGTTGGCTGACCTGGGGCCTGTGGGCTGGGGGCAGCTCCTGTGTTAAGCATATGCCCCCCCCTAGTGGTCAATGCACGTCATAGCAATCTGTAGCTCCACAGATCATTCTGCTATTTGTTTGATTTGCATATTAGGCTTTTATTATATAAGATGGGTGCCAGGACATATCCAGTCACCGATGTGATCATGAAACCAGAAACAACTCCATTCTCTCTGTCTTCCAAGGATTCTACCTACAAAAGTCAATGGTGACGGCTCCCAATATCTGTAGCAGGGATGCTGAAAAGGCAGGTCCTCCCAGCAGGTCAGGAGTTAATCTAGGGCTACAGGTAAAAGAATTAAGAGTAGGAAACAGATAAGAGAGCTAAGTAAGATTCCAAGATAGGATCTTAGGTGTGAAAGACACCAACACAGGACTTAGCTGAGGTAAACAGCAGGGACCAGAACCATTTGGAAAGAAGAATTATTCTGGGGTGATATAAAAAGAGGATAAAGGCCAGAAGAAAAAGAATGACAGAAAAATGTGATTTTTCCTCATCTCTTTTCTTCCCTGACTGTTCAGAAGAGTAAAAAATGAATGGAAAGAACTAGGAGAGTGACTGGGCAGCTTTTAGTCTCCTACTCTCTCTCATTAACTGCCCCAGTTCTCAGACCAAGGCATCAACATACACTGAGACAAGTAAAAAATGGAGATCGTTAGAGAAGGGTTAGGAACCTGCTACTGAGAGATGGGTAAAACCCCCCAGGCCAGCAGAAAGAAAAAAAAACTATGGCAGAACCTGGGGCATTCCAATTTATGTGACATATTAATTTTGATAAGCACAGGCTTCCTGTATTTCTTTGGCAAAATGGAAACCATAGAAATGTTAGGGAACTACCCAAATAAAAATCATTATTACTAAATAAAATATTAAATTCAAATGAACTATTTTACCCTATGCCTGTATGTTAACATTCAACTTTAGCAATTGAGAACATTGTCTGAAATAAAGTAATTACCTGCAGTTATCACAAGTTGGCAAATCAAAGTGATTCATAAGATAAGAATCCATAAATTCTCTACTACATTCTTCACATATTGCATAATCAAATTCCATAACAGGTCCTAAAGAAAAGATGATCAATTCTTTAAGTTTTCTTTTTTGTGACTAGAATTTTCCTCTATTTTATTAGCTTCTTGACATGTATTTTATGCCTGACACCATTTACATAAAAGACAAAATAAAAATTAAGTAATCTTTTACTTACTAAAAAAAATGTTAGATAGAAGAAAAAGGAAATAACATCAGGGGGAAAATCCCTATCAATACATCAAGTATTTTTGAACCCAAACCATGTGTAAGATAATTATTTAACATCAATTTGCAAAGAATTATGCACATTACCCAAAATTACCAACCTAGCCCGGCTGGTGTGGCTCAGTGGTTGAGTGTCCACTTATGAATTCAAGAGGTCAAGGTGCGATTCCTGGTCAGGGCACCTGTCCAAGTTGTGGGCTTGATCCCCACTGCAAGAGGCAGCCGATCAATGATTCTCTCTCATCTTTAATGTTTCTCTCTCTCTCTCTCTCTCCCTTCCCCTCTGAAATCAATAAAAATATATACTAATATTTTTTAAATGGCCCACTGAGATTCCTATTTTCTGAAAACACATTTTACCTGGTTCATGAACAACTTTTCCAACTGTATGTTCTTCTTCTCCTTCCTCTTCCAGAATGAAGCCTCCATGTGTATCAATTATCTTTGGGGCAGCTTTTATGTTAGCCATGCCTATTAAAAAAAAAGTAAAAGTGGTCAACAAGTGAGCTAGGTAAGCCCATATGCTCCCTTCTGCATAAACAGAAATTTTCCTTAAATTTAATATGTATCAAACAAGATAAGGAATGTCCACTATAATCACTTCTATCCAACATTAAAGGTTCCAGCTAGTGCAATAAGACAAGAAAACAAAACAGGCATAAAGGTTGGAAAGAAGTAAAACAGTCTTTATTCACAGATGATCTGATTATATATGTAGAACATGCACAGGAATGTACAATTACAATTAAATAATAACACCCAGGGCCCTGGCCAGTGGGGCTCAGTTGGTTGGAGCATTCTTCCACACTCTGAAAGATCACAGATTCGATTCCCAGTTTCGGCATATGCCTGGGTAAAAGGTTCAGTCCCCAGTTGCGGGGGGGGGGGCGCACACAGGAGGCAACCGATCAATGTTTCTCTCACATCAATGTTTTTCTCTCTCTCCCCCGCCCCCACACCTTACTCTCATTAAAATCAATAAAGGCATATCCCTCAAGTGCAGATTTAAAAAATAAATAATAAACAAATAAATAGCACCTTGAAAGAGATTTCTGGTCAAGATGGTTATGTAGATAAATGTGGTACTTGAATCCTCCCACAAACACATAAAAATTACAACTAAACTATAGGAAAACCATCATTCAGAATTGCCTAAAAATTAGCTGAATGGAAATCCTACAACTCGGGATTTAAAGAAGCAGCCATGTAACACTGGTAGGAGGGGCAGAGACTCAGAAAGGGCTGGTCCCACACCCATGTGTGGCAGATGAAAATTGTCTCAATTGTGGAAGTCCTCCCTTAGGAATGAGAAGTGCCAGACCTACACCAGGCCCCAAGCCCAGGGTTACAGTGCCAGGAAGAGAAGTCCCCATAACTTATGGCTGTAAAAACCAGCAGGGATTGAGGCTGAGCAAGATGAAGGGTTGCTGGAGTCCCAGGCAATTCTTCTCAAAGGGCCCATGCACAGACTTACTCGGACTCACTCTCCGAGCTTCAGTGCTGGGGCAGCAACTTGAAAGGAACTAGGGACATAAGAGGAGGAAATGAATTGTCTGGCATCAGGGTCAGAGCCGGGGGTACAGCTTTCTGCCAGACAAAAGTGCGCCCTAGCCGGTTTGGCTCAATGGATAGAGTGTCGGCCTGCGGACTGAAGGGTCCCGGGTTCAATTTCTGTCAAGGGCACATACCTTGGCTGCAGGCTCAGCCCAGGCCCTGGTCAGGGCTCGTGCAATAGGTAACCAATCGATGTGTTTTTCTCATCGATGTTTCTCGCTGTCTGTCCCTTTCTCTTCCACTCTCCCTAAAAATCAATAGAAAAATATCTTCACATGAGGATTAACAACAAAAAGTGCTAGCAGAGGCCATGGTTCCTTTTCTGAGCCACGCACCCCCACCTCCCAGGCCCGAGCCATATCTGAGTCTCCATCAACCTGGCTCATACTGTCTGCCCAGCCTTGTGATTCTGAGGCCCTGCCCCACACAACTTATGAGCCCACCCAAGGTGTTTTCAGTGGCTTTTCCATCTGAATGGTTTGTCATGGCTCATGCTTTTTTTTGTTGTTGTTAATCCTCACCTGAGGACATTTTTCCATTGACTTTTAGAGAGTGGAAGGGAGGGGAAGAGACAGAGAAACAGCGGATGTGGATGGACGTATGGATTGGTTGCCTCCCATTTGCAGCCCAGGGCCGGAGATCAAACCAGCAACTGAGGTGTGTGCCCTTGACCAGAATCAAACCTGGGACCTGTCAGTCCCCAGGCCACACCCTATCCACTGAGCCAAACTGGCTAGGGCCTGGCTCATGCATTGGACTTCCCTAAAATCTCTTAAACAAGCAACATCTGGCCTCAGAATGCCTGGTACCTCTCACTGAGTGGCCCTAGGCCCGGCACTGGCAGCAGCCAGCCTTGGTTTGAATCCTGGACTTGCCTGAGCACCACCAAGTCCAACACCAGGGCGAGAGATGCCCAGTGCAGCAGAGGCTGCTCGAGGAGCGGAGGAGACCCATCCCAGTGTCAGATGCCCTGAGTTCTAGAGCTGATCGGCCTGCGCACTTGCTGGGAGGAAACCGAACCAACCCCTTTCCTTTTCTGGTCCTCAATGACCACTTCATTAAAACAGAATCCTAACTTTGCCCTAATCATTTACCCGGTTAGCTCTGAGAATCACATTAGCTCATTTGAAACACGTGAAGCGCAACAGGTGCTCCTCGGTGAGCCCCACAGAGAGGGTCGACAATGTCTATCTGCTCCTTTTGGCGCCCTGCAGTAGCAAGCCCTCGGCTGGGCACGGAAAGTGCCCTCAGCCGCCCTCGGAGGACGAATGCGGGAGCAGGTGCAGGTTACTGACACGGTGAAGGTCTAAGAGTTAAGGACCGCCTCCGGTACCTGGAAGCTGCAGGAAGAGGACAGACAGGGGCAGCCGAGGCGCTGACCGGCGCTGGCGCGCCCACCTGCCAGCGAGTGCAGCGGCTGTAAAAGCTAAGGACCGCGGCCCGGGGGCAGCGAGGCCAGCCCGGGGGCAGCGAGGCCGGCCCGGGGCTGGGAGTCAGGGAGCCGGGTTCGACCGCGGAACCGTCCCGTGGGCTGGGACTGCTCGCTTCGACAAGACCCTAGCGGACGCCCCGACCCAGGACAGCGGGAGGGTGTGCGCGCAGACGCGAGGGGGCTCGCGCCACACAAGGGACCCGGCACCCGGTCCCCCAGCAGAGGGAGAGGGCAGCGCCGCCAGGACCCAAACCTCCGGTAGCCGCAACCGCCGTCGCCGGGTAGGGCCGGGCCGCCAACCGGGCCTGGCGCAGCATCAGCGCCCGCTGCCGCTTCCGCTCGATGCTCGCCCGCACGGAGGCAGGCAGCTCCGCCGGCTGTTCCGAAGCCGCCGGCTGCGGTGAAGTTTCCTCGACCGCCGCCATCGCCAATCTCAGCGCACTTGGTCTCCAGCCCCGCGCACGCGCACGCACACGCGCAGGCGCCCCGAGCGGCCCCGGAGGGAAGTGCGCCTGCGCGGAGGGCGGAGGGACGGGCGGCGGCGGAGTATGCGCGCTGGCGGGGACCGGGAATAGCTCCGGTTTATAAACCGGGGGAAAGCGGTGCCGAGATCGTTTTCTTCGGGACTTGGTCATCTTTAAAGTAACAGTTTCGCTTGGTGGTTTAGAATCTAGGCTTTGGAGTCAGACCTAGGTTAAGTCCTACTCTGACACCATCTGCGTGATCTTGAACAAGTTTTTTAACCTGAATTCAGTAGTAAAATGAGGATAACTACGGAACCCCTTCCGGGTTGTTGGGAAGATTAGATGTAGACTTTCAACACAATGCCTGGCACAGTAAGCTTCCCAAAATGATAGCAGCTGGTAGTAATAATGTGTCAATCAAGAGAGACCCAGAGATGATGGATCTGGCTTTCCTTTGGACAGAGCCTTAGGTTTGAGAGGAGAACACCTGCATTCAAACGCTCACTTGCTGTGTGAGCTCAGGCAAAGGCAGCGCCTGGTACCAAGGTTGGTATACGAGGTGTACCGGTTAATAATGCGGATTTTTTCAATAGATGGAGTTACACAGATGTTGATATATATGCGATTTGATATGTATGCTATTTTATTGTATTGCTCCTTCAGGTCAAAACTTCATATGTCAAATTTGTTGAAGGTGTTAACATCATAGATATTTTTACGCTTAAAAATGTTGAATTTCGTGCCAAAAAAAGAGCATTTGCAGGAAGTTTTAATTCATTACTTTATTTTGAGGAAAAGTGCTAAAATGCAGATTAAGTTTTAACTGGTTAATAATACAGATTTTGTAATCCAAAGAAAACACAATTTCAAGAGAAAAATCAACAGTGCTTTATTCAAAGTAATGTCCATCGCTAGCTACACATTTCCCCCATCTTTCAGGTAATTTGTGGATACTGTCTTACTAGAACTTTTCTTGTTTTGAGGCAAACCATTCAGAGACCCAATTTTCCACTTCGTACGTTTTGAAGTGCTGCTCAGAAAGTGTGTGTGCCATCAATCGGAACAAGTGGTAATCTGAAGGAGCAAGGTCTGGTGAATATGGCTGGTGTGTTAATACTAATATATATTCTGAAGAACCTATATAAAGCAGATAAATGTTCAGATCTACTGGTTGAACTGGAGATAGAAATGTCAAGCCATTCTTATTGCCTTTCCCCTCAGATCCCTCTTTCTCCCTCTCTATCTTGTCCAGGTGATAAAATCTCAAATTATATGTAACACCAAAAGCACAAGCAAGGAAATAAAAAATTCTATAAGGTGGCTAAGTTGAAAACGTGGGCATTAAAGAACACTATCAAGAATGTGAAAAGGCAACTTACAAATGGCAGAAATATTTGCAAATCATATCTGAAAAGGGGCTAGTATTCAGAATATACAGGGTGTCCCCCAAAATGTATACACACTTTGAATGATTACCAAGTCAGTGTTTATTAACATTTAATTTTCAAAATTAAGTAAGTTATCAGCTGTTAAAGGGTATATACATTTTGGGGGGGACACCCTATATAAATAACTGTTACAATCCACTAACAAAAAGGCAAATAGCCCAGTTTTTAAACGAGCAAAGGGCTTAAGTAGACATTTTTCTAAAGAAGATATACAAATAACCGATGAATACATAAAAAGATACTCATCTTAGTTATTAGGGAAGTACAAATCAAAAGCACAATAAGAAACCGCTTTACACCCAATAAGATGACTAGAACTAAGAAAAACAAAATAGTAAGTTGACAAAGATGTGGACAAATTGGAACCCTCACGCATTGTTGGAGGGAATATAAAATGCTGCTATATAAAACAGTTTGGCTATTCTTCAAAAATGTTAAACATAGAAATACCATACGAGTCAGCAATTCCACAACTGGGTATAAACCCAAAAGAATTGACAACAGAGTTCAAACAAAAAACAAAAGTTTGAAATTACCCTAATATCTATCAAATGGTGGATGGATAAACAAAATGTGGTATATCCATACAAAGGAATATTATTCAGCCATAAAAGGAAGAAAGTAAGATATATGTTAGAACATGGATAACCCTTGAAAACATTATGCATTCCTTTTATATGGACTATATGAATAAGCAAACTCATAGTGACAGAAAGCCAATTAGTGATTGCCAGGGGCTGAGGGAAGAGGGGACTAGGGAATGACTGCCTATGAATATAGGTTTTCTTTTTGGGGTAATGAAATGTTCTGGAGCTAGATAGTGGTGAATGGGCCCAGGCGATCAGTGGAAGTTAATGAACCTGGTCAGGTGTGGGACTTGAGCAAACTGGAGTGAGGACACCTCTTAAAAGAGTCAGCTACTACACAGACCCCATGGGTAGTTGTCAAGACAGCATTTGGGCCCACTATTGCCAGATTGCCCAATGCTTCCAGAAACGTAACTGCTTCTCAAACGGTAAGCACATATGAGTCCCCTGGTGAGCTTGTTAAACTGCAGATTCTGATTCAGTAGGTCTGTGGTGGAACCTCAAGAATGTGCATTGCTAACAAGCTCCCTGGTATGCGGTAGCTCCACTAACCACAATGAATAGTAAGGGTCCCGCTCACAGGTTCTCAAACTTGGCAGCACACTGGCAGCATCCGAAGAGTTGAGCCAGTGCATGCTTAGGCCCTACCCCCAGAGAGATTCTGATATCATTGGTCCGGGATGGGATCTGGGCATCGGAATTCTGTAAAGTACCTCCCTACCCTCACCCCTTTACCCCTACATACTTCTAATGGGCACCAAGTTTTTGAGAGCCAGAACCCCATGTGACCCTTTTAGGCTCTATGCAGCTCTAAGAGTCTCTGGGGCTATGCAGTATTTCTAAAGAACAAGGTAACAGTTCTTCCCCAAAGTAACCTTTTGAGAATAATCAGCCCCAAGAGCTTCCTCCCCAACAAAGCACAGCTGAGATGCTGTACAAGCCCTGGCGTTTCGTAACTCTTGACAACCTGAAGGGTCTCCTCTTATAGGTAACTCCCTCTCCTCTGGCTTCCTGGCCTTTGTTAGAAAGTTTCATGTAACTGGGTCTGAATTGTGAGCTGACGCCTCAACCAAGCAAAAACGAGGCACCTTTAGAGAAAAGAAAAAGAGTGCATGCCCCGATCTGTACCTCTCACAGGGTGACAGAGGCTGTGGGGCTTGCCCAGAGGGCAGCAGCATGAGTCATCTCCATGAGGGCACAAAAGGAAAACAGGCAAGGAGAATGGGCCAGTGAATGCATTCTTGCCTCTCCCCGTTTACAGTCTCGGGGAAAACCTGTGACTACATCTATCTTCCTGCTTTGTACCTCTCTCATCTCCCAGACCAACTGTGATCCTGGCTGAAAGAGGGGTGCTTAAGAAAGCACAGAAAGAATGGAAAGCCCGGACCCAAGAGTGAGGAGCAGCAGGCAGGTAAGAATGGAAGCCAGGAAGGGGAAAGAGAAACTTGGCAGTGTTTCCTGACAGGCCTCCTGTCTAAGAGCATTACTGGGGTTATTCATGCCGAGATGACAGGATGTGAACATATTTGTCTTTATTATCTAGTAAATAGCACATGTGTGTGGCTTTCTTTTTTATTTCCATTTTCACCCTGATTCCCTGGGGCTGTCCCCCTTAATGTGGTCACTTTGAACATAGTTGGCCTCAGTTCATAATAGGAGAACATCTGGTGAGAAGGAGCACGCCAAGGGGGAAACTGTCTGGGACAAGGATGCAGAAACACAGAAATTAGTCTGATCCTGTTGACTTAAGCTGTATTGATTTAGTAATCCAGGAAATGCAGTCTCTTTTTGCTGTGATTGACCAGGCAAACACTCCTGGAGAAACTTAGATTTCAATCTCCGTGAACCAAAAGATAAAGGGATTAAGGAAAAAAGCATCATATTGGAAATTTGATCAATAAAATGTCTGCGTGTGTGCAAAGGGATTTAGGAAGCATCTTAAAGACTCACAAGAACTTTCTCTCCAAAAGCAATAAGGGGTGGGAGGGTCCAAATGATTCAACTAAGGACAGGGCCTAGAAAAAATGACTGTCAGCACTGGAACCCCAAACCCCTTGTCACTCCTGGATCTCCCATACTCTGCATTCCCCAGATCATAAATACAGCCCAGGGGACCTTGTTTCTTACTGCCTCTTCCGAGAAGCCTGCCCTGACTTCCTCCTCTGGCTGCCTATGAACCTCTTGTGCTGGTGCTGTGGCACTTACCACACCTGCTATCCTTACTAGATTCTCAGGTCCTTGAGAGCTGGGACTGTCTGATTTATCTCACATCTCCGGGACTTAGCACAATGTCTGGCACAGAGTAGCTGTTCAGTAAATGTCCGTGGAATTAAATGGAATGATAATACTGACCAAGCCTAGTTGGATGTTTCACCAGCACTGAAAATTCAAGGTCCAAAGCTGAACCCTACAGCCACCTTGGTTCTGCTTATACACCTGCAGTGGTAAAGAACACTCCACTTCGGAACAGCCTATTCCACTGCTGTCTAGCTGTAGCCATTACTCACTGCACTAACAATAGTAACAATAATAATAACAAACACTTATATTGTGCTCATGGTTTTGAAAGCATTTTAAATGTATTTATCTAATTTTTATAACTACTTAATGAGTATTTTCACTCATCTCAGTTTATAGATGAGACAACGAAGGCATGGAGATGTTAAGTAACCTGTTCAAGGCGACAAGAACGAAAGCAGTGTCTGAGCTGAGGGAGGTGTTCTTCTCAGTGTTTGGGGCTGTTCGGACCACATCTGGAGCCTGTGCCCACTTCCGGACACCACCGAGGGAACTGGAGCCAGGGTGTGGCCAGATTGGAGGGAAGGGCTAGGAACCCTATCATGGAAGAAATGCTGAGAGGGAGGCCAATGCAGAAGGTTCGTGATCAAGGTGCCAATCTCCAAAGGACTTGTGGGGCGGCGGGCACAGAGGTGGGCTGCAGCCTTTGTGTTCTCACTGAGCTGGAGATCCACGGCAGCCTCACTGGGCAGGGTTTCTTCTCCCTTCAGATCACCAGGCCCAGGTCTACACTCATGGCCTTCTCTCGTGGCCCCACGTCTCTCTGGAGTGGAAGACAGAAGTGGCCACAGGATGAGAATCTGACCCAAGGTCCACGCTTCTGGGACAGGAATGCACCAAAGACCCTGCAGGGAAGCAAATTCAAGTTGTCATGGGGCCCACGCTGGCAATGCAAACAAGTGAAGCTAGTTGGGCACTGGCCTTTTAAATGTACAGAAATAGTTTCACGTCCACAGATAAATATGTTGAGCCTATTTTCCTTACAACAAATGACTTGGTCTTTTATTTTTCCTTTTTGACAAAGACGTAATAAGAAAAATGTTTTTACTTTTGTTTTTATAATAAAATAAAAAAACACACAGCATACGTGCAATGAGAAATGGTGCCACCAGTCATCCTTATTGCTGGGCAACAATAGGGAGCTAAGGAGGCAGCTGTGACTGGGCTGAGGCAGGTCCAATGAGGCTAAGCCTTCCATTTTGTTATAGGAGCAGCTAGAAATCTGGGTTTTTATATAAAACCTTCCAATTTCTAAAGGTGAACACTGATGCTCAAAAAGCAACATGCAAGCTTGATGGAAATCCCTCTACAACATCTGTTTTGTGATCTTCCTAGCTCTGCTTGCTTATCCCTGGGATTGGAGCTCACACCCACAGAAGCAGCCTTCTGTCTATGGACTGCTCACACTACTAGGAATAAATTTCTCACAATAAGTCGAAATTGATCACTTTATAGTACACCAGCCTGACCACCCTGACCTGCCCAGCCTCTGCATTAATCCTAACCCTAGACTACAGCCTCTGGGCCACTTTATTCATTCATTCATTCAATCATTCACTCATTCATTTGCATGTGCATGTGTGTGCGCACCTTTACGCGCGCGCGCGCACACACACACTCACACACACATACACACACACACACCAGGGACTAATTGCACAGCATCTGTTGAATTCGGTGAATCATGATGCGAGTTACCTGTGAGCAGAAAATGTGTTTTCTTTGTCCCTGAGTCTCTTGGAACCTCCTTACCACATAAGGCCTAGAACAGAGAAAGGCCCAGAGACTCCCCAGGCGGGAACACTGTGTTCCTCTGACGGGGAACACTGCCGCTGCCCAATTCCTCTTCTGGATAAAGGCTGTCAGGAAGAAGTTTCTTGCAGACCTTGCCTGTGCCTCTCCTGAGCAGCAGCTGGCACAGTGACTAGGAACAGCATTTTCTGGCCCTGTGGCCCCAGGCAAGCCACTGCTGTCCCAGCCCAGGCCTCCCCATGTGTTAAATAGGGGCGTTAATGCCTACTTCGTGGCATATTTTGAGGTTATCTTTTTAAAAATATATATATTTTTATTGATTTCAGAGAGGAAGAGAGAGGGAGAGAGAGGTAGAAACATCAATGATGAGAATCATTGATGGGCTGCCTTCTGCAGGTCCCCTACTGGGGATTGAGCCCACAACCCAGGAATATGCCCCTGATCAGAATTGAACCTGGGATCCTTCAGTCCACAGGCCAACACTCTACCCACTGAGCCAAACTTGAGGTTATCTAAAGTCGTTTTAAGAGGGAAGTGCGACATTGACTCGAGAAAGTGGGAAGAATTTGGAGTCCCACAGGGCTACAACTTTGGGCAGACAATTGAGTCTCTATGAGCCTCAATTTCCTCTTTTACAAAATTGCCTACTCTACCGGCCTGTTCTTTGGATTCGAAATTAGAAATGATGCATGTTGAATATCCGCACTGGAGGTTCAGGGAAGGGGTAACTGTTGTTGCTGTTACTGATAACCAGTAGAGGGCACCAAACTATTCTGAAATAATGAAATGAAATGAAATGAAATGAAATGAAATGATCTTGGTAGCCTAGCCACAAAGGCAAGGAAGGGAGATCCACCAAGTAGGTAGCTTTACACACACACACACACACACACACACACACACACACACTCCTTTTTTATTGGAAAGTTAGAAATTACGCTTTACATCGTGCTATTAAGGGAGGGGTGGGGTGTGTGTGGATCACTTATTAACACAAGTAGTTTAGGATTCCAAAGAAGGCTCTCCTAGCAGGGCTTCTTGTCCTTGCCCTAGTCCTTGTGTGGTGTGACCTTGGACAAGTCCCTGCCTGTGTCTGGACCCTTTTTGAAGCCCAGGAGGGTGGGACCAGGTGCTAAGGGATCCTCTAGTGTCCGTGACTAAGATTTGGGGACAAATACATTTCAGGAAACATGCAGGTGGTGGGGTCGGGTGGACAAAACGTCCCCTGGATGCCCTTGCTAGGCTGGGCCTTGATGATTTATCCACAGGCCAGGGGAGCCACATTTGCCTGGTCCTGGTCTCACAAAGGAGTGCGGTTAGAGCTGCTGGGTGGTGGCAGTGTGGTTCTGCAAGTGCACATAATGCTTATCATCTTTTGTGCAGGTTGATGGCGAAGCCACGGAGACCACCCAGCCTGACAAAGAAAGGAATTCTTGTCTGCAGCTGACAGCCCTCAGGTTGACGGCTTTCCATTTGCCTGGGAGGCTGTCACTGGCAGAACAATGGCAACGAGCAGGGTGGCTCTCACCTGAGACGGGCGGGCGCTGCCGCCAGGAGGGGGAGGAGGCAGGCCCGGCCTGGGGTGGGGGTGGCTGTTGTCTCTCCTCCCAGGATATGCAAGCTGCACGACCTCCCCAGCCTGCAGCAGGTGTGGAGAGGCTGTGGAGGATTATTCTGTGCGTAGATGATTGCGTCTCGATCGGAAAGCAGCAAGTATTTACTCTTCATTAAGAAAAATAATGAATTACTGATATACACAAAGCATAAATCAATCCCAAACGCATTATGTGGAGTGGAAGAAGCCAGGCACAGAGAGAGTACATAGGGCGTAACTCCATTTCTATGAACTTCTAGAGCAGACAAAACTAAGCTGCCTGTGATAGGATCTCGAGCAATGCTGCCTGCCTCCTGGGAGAGGGAAGGCCGCCTGCGCAGGACATGCAGGGACTTTCTAGGGGATGGAAGCTTTCTACGTCTTGATTGATTCCTACCACTGGTGATGACAGGAGTGCATCGTAAGTCCCTTTGCAAAACTCTGTACTCTACACTTAAAAACTCGTGCATTTGACTGTTTGCACATTACACTTCAATAACAGTGATAAAAATGGAATTGCAAAAAAAGTTTCACGACTTTTCTCAAAATAAATACACGTCCACACTTACAAGACTCAAAAAATACAGGCACGTTTTTAAAGTAAAATTTTAAAAAGAAATGAAAATCATTTTAATCCCCTTACCCAGAGGTAAGCACGATTATCATTTTGATATTGATAGTGCCAGGTCTTTATTTTCACAAAAATGAAATCAGATCGGTTTGTAAGCTGCATTATCACTAATTTGTTTATACATTGAATTGGCAATACAAATACACAGTTAAAACTTCAAAAGGTACAAAAGGGCATAAGTTAAAAAGGAAATCTCTCTTCTAGTTTCTCTCTCCAGAGCACTTACACCCACAATTTATTTGTATGTCCTCCTAAAGATATGGTATGTTATGCATTTACAATCATACATGCATGGTGAACTTCAAGGAGAAAAAACATGGTAACTTACTGTTCACACAATTTGCACCTGTATCAACCTGTATTTTTAATATAATGTGACAACATGAATTTCTTTTCATGTCATTAAAATTCTTCTACCGTGTCAGTTTAAGTACACTTTTGACTAAAGCAGAAGATAAAAACAGAAATATGCAAAAAAATTATAAGTCTAAACCTCAAAGTGTTTTCATAAATTGAACCTACTTTTATATTCAGTACCAATATAAAATAATAGGTCATTTACCAGCATCCCCCAAAAAACCTTCTGATCCTCTCCTAAAATGTACCCACTCCCTCAAAAGTACCCACTATCCTGACTTCTAATTTTTAATGGGGTTAGCCTAGTTTTTGAACCTTTGGGTTATACAGGATTTATTCTTATGTCTGTATTCTTTCACTCAGTAGAATATGAATGGGATTTACTCATGTTTTAGCATATAGCAACAGTTCATACACACTTGCTACCATGTAGTATTCCTTTGTCTGAATATATCACCATTGATTTATCCATTCTGCTGTTGGTGGACACGGGGGCTGCGTCCAGGTTTGGGCTCTCACAGCCACTATGAGCATCCTTTAGGTGTCTTTTGGTAAATATATGTATGCATCTCTGCTGTACATATGCTCAGGAATGCAATTGCTACGTCATGGGGTCTGTGTATGTTCAGCATTAGAACAAATAGTCTCCAAAATGGTTACACCCATTTCCACTCTCTGCTGCTGTACGAGAGTTCCCATTGCTTTACCTCCTCACCTATACAGTCCATTTTCATGGCTGCGTAGAATCTCATTATACAGATGTGCCATATTTATTTACCTGTTTCCCCTAGTTCAGGGATTCCTGACTCTTTTTGTGCCGTAGACACACTGGCGCTCTGATAAAGCTTAAGGACTCTTCTCACAATACGACCTAGTAAAGCATAAACTTCAGTATTAACACGCTGGGGACATCTAGCAACAGGTCTAATGATCGTGGGTAACGTCAACATTCCAAAATGAGCATAAACAGAAAAATGTTTAGTGACCTTTTGTGCTGCTTTTCCTATGAAATGCATATCTTAGCTTTTGCCAATTTTTAAAATAACCTATTTATTTTCAAATTATATATTAGAACTCCTTGTGTATTATAGAAATGAATCATCTGTGAAATGTTACAATTTTTTTCATTTGTCATTAACTTTGCCATTTTATTTCTTAATAACAGCTCTGTTTTTTAAATAATAGCTTTACCGAGAAATAATTCACATACCATAAAATTCACCCTTTTAAAGTATACATTTTAGTGGATTTTAGTATACTCACGGAGTTATGAAACCCCCACCACCATCTAATTTCAGAACATGTTCATCACCCCAGAAAGAAACCTCAAACTCATTAGTAGTCACTCTTCATTTCCCCAGACCCCAACTTCTGATTCCACTAACCTATTCGTACTTCTATTCACGATAGACTAATAAGATTAGCCCATTCTGCCTGTACATGAACATACATATCAGTACGTGGTCTCTTACGATTGCCTTCTTTCACTCAGCATAATGCTTCCTTGGCTTATTCCTGTTGTAGCATGTGTCAGTACTTCATTTCTTTCTATGGCTGGATATTATCACACGGTAGGGGAATACCCAATTTTTTATCCATTTATCAGTTGATAGACACGTGGATTGTTTCCACTTTGGGGCCATGATGATAATGCTGTTATGAACATTCATGTACAAGTTTTTATA